CGTTCTGCCGTGTCCTCGGTGCTCCGCCACCGATGCGCTCCATCCTACACCACCTCGGGGGCACCGGGTCGCGACATATGGACACCACTGTTATATTTTTCGTAAAACGAAGCACATAGTTCGAGGTACATGATAAACTGGTTGCGATCAATTTGAATTGTGTGAATCTTCCCACTACGAGCATCAGATGGCCGAATTTCTAGAGATTCCAAACAGACTCATATACCCCTAATTACTGGATGCCATCTCAGATTGTCCACTGCAACCGCCCACAGCTCTTTCTGATCATCAGCTGTTTAGCCACATGTATAGGACGATTATTGTTTCTGCAGTACCATGGCCAACTCCGTGTTAGCGTGTGTGCTCAACCACAAGTGCGGAAGTGAAGCAGCGGCAAAAGATGCTGCTTACGGGCGCGGTCCAGGCTCAAAGCTTGGATCGCTCAACATGCCAACTGAGTATTTTAGCCGTGCTAGTTTCTAAATTATAGCAGACCCATTAGAGAACAAAAACATGACCTGCACGTTAGCTCGCTTCCATTAGCTCATTGCACGGACCAAATCGCACTCAAAACGCTACTACGATTCTGAATGAGAACGGGGTGCGTGAAGCATCCTCAAGTGGATTGGCAAACGGCGAAATCTCAATCGTTTTTGCCTTTCATCTGAGCACAATTCCAAAGTTGACTGTGACCAAAGTCACTCTTGGTACTGCTGAAAATATTGATAATTGATATATAGTGATTGCGTTTGAAATAAAGTAGCTAAAAAAGCAAAATACGCACCAACTTTTCCTCAAAATAGGGGTATGCTGCAGGTAGTCTCCCACCTCAGCGCCACCTGCATCTCCCTGTTAATGAGTTTCTGCTCCATACACTGGTCCTCTGCTATTTCCGGCGGTTTCTTCTTCTCCTTTGCCGGTGCATAGGATTGACCATGAGTATCGCTTTCGGAATTTCAGGGTAAAGTTTGCTGCAAGACCTGCATCATCTTGTCTACGAGATTACACCACTGTGTATGTTGATAATGTCGTGGCTATGACTGAACCCTCCAAGCAAGGAACGCAACAACCCTTCATCAAGATTTCCTGGAATGGAAGCGAGCTGACGTGCAGGTCATGCTTTTGTTCTCTAATGAGTCTGCTATCATTTAGAAACTAGCACGGCTAAAATACTTAGTTGGCATGTTGAGTATCCAAGCTTTGAGCCTGGACCGCGCTCGTAAGCAGCATCTTATGCCGCTGCTTCACTTCCGCACTTGTGCTTGGGTACACACGCTAACACGGAGCTGACCATGGTACTGCAGAAACAATAATCGTCCTATACGTGTGAAATAATTCTTTCATTATTTGTCTAAGTGGCAGGAATTGGCAAGAATTGACATAAAAATTACTATTGCTTGCTATCATATAGTAATCGACGCTCATACTGTCGTATGAGTGTTGACTACAACGAACTGAACAAACTGCCAAACTAAAGGCTGCCTTTTGATTCCCGAGCATATTTTTTATGACCACATTTTGAAAATCAGCGTGTTGAGATCATATGCGAGAGCTGAATCGCGCATTTGAAGCAAATAGCTCAATAGTTTGGCTTACAACAAAAGAAAGAAGTCGAAGCTTCGACCCTCAATTCTTTTAGACTCAGGAAAATTCAAGTTATTTGTCTAGGAAACACTCCTAATCAAAGCAATGATAGGATCACCGTACTGGCTGTCGTAGTTCTTTATTTTGTTCGCTATCACACGGTTCTCATAGTAAAAAATCTTGTCGTAAAATAATCGCGCCGTTCAGAGACAATGGAACTTGTTAGACAAATTTTATTCATGTTAATCGCAAAGCTCAAAAAGTGATATGCTTATTCTTGATTTGGATAAGGAACAGCCACAATATCAAGATAGCTAGTGGAAGTGACTGCTTTGCTCCCGAGTAATAGAACAAGTCATTTCAATTCGTTGTTCAAAGAGCCCCAGAAAGGTTGCGATAGGCCGCGGTATATATGACTCAATGGAGCAGTTTTTGTTCATAGCATCCACACAATTCTCACTGGAAAATAATGGCGAGCGTTAACTCTGTTGCCTCCCAAACACACGGTTAGTTCTCGCTACTCATTTTCAAGGGTTGGCTGGAAGAGCATGAACATTGGTAACTAAAAAGAAATTCTTTCATTCATTTATAACCACTTATATCGGTTTGTTAAAATTTGATATGATTCATTCAAGATATAAGTTAGGGAAACCGTGACAAAGAAAGAATTTCCAGTGCCTAAGTTCTAAATTCCCAAAGAGCAAATAATGTTGACTCAGAGGTGGTTCAAGTGACGAAAAATTGGGATCATTTGATCAATTAACTTTGTGTAATAATGAACTCACCTGCGACCGATGGCCTACAACACATCAGCAGAACGTTACGGCGAAAGAGAAAGCAACTTCTGGGACGGTAGTAAAGTCCCCTAAGTAGCCAGTCTATAGTTGGCCAATAGGTCACGTTGACCTCGCCTTCGTCGACACTCAAAAAGCATGGGGAAAGGGCGGAAATTCGCGCTGACCTCCCGCGGAGGGCGAGGTCTGTTAAGTGGCGAAGGTATTAGGTGGCACCTAGCCTAGGCGGCGAACCCGGCAGAGAAAGGGGAAAGTGTGTGGAGATTGCAGAGACGCAGAGCGTCATGTAGAGGGCGACTAATATGTACCCCTGAGTACATTTTAGTCGCCGCCTATCTGCGTCTCTTCAATCCCCATGCACTTCCCCCTTTCTCTGCACGTCATGCATTGGTCGCATTGAGCGTCTCTCCTTCCCTGCTATGCGCAGAGCGCAGGGAAGAAAGGGGTACGTGGAAGATGTTGAGTGCGGGCAGCAAGAAAGCCACTGGAGCTATCGATAATATTGATAACTTCCTGCCAATAAGGTGATCAGCTGTCCCCCGCAGTGTTCCACTTATTGATCGTGTTATAGCTCCTTCATTGGTCCTTGGGAGCATTTCACTACTGTACAATCATCTAGGCCATGATCCTAGCTTACAAACACGTCGATTGGCGCTTCCTTGTTGACATTGGATCGCTTGCGGGATCAGTTTTCCATGATACTGGATGTTTTGCAACCCTCATAGGATCCTACCTTGATTTCTACAGTTCTTTCGAATTAACACAGCAATGCTTTGTGGTGCAGTGGCAAACGTCGCGCTCATCGGCGCTGCACTACATGGTTCAAGTCCATGGCTACGCGACTTTTGCTGAGAATGTAGTGAAGCTCGCCATTAAGAGCGGGGTCATCTGGCTGCCTCGCCTTTCCTTATTCACCGCTTACGGCCGTAGTTCACCACCCTTAACTCCCAGTATATGGCACTTTACTACCGTCCCTGAAAATCAAAAACTTGTTCGAATAAGTAAACTGCGTACCACAGAGACAAATCTCACTAAATGAACAACGTGAAGTAATGAACTTATTTGGCGCTAGGCCTCCTTCACTCCTAAAGAACTTCGCAACGAAAGATTCTGAAAACCAAAATCAATCGACTAAACAATACTGTGTACTATCAAGACAACAATCTCTCTGCGAACTCACCTCAAACACGCGGCCTCCTTCACACAGAGTTGACAACCAGAAAAACTCTAGAAAGGTACTGTTCATTTATAGAATCAACACGGCTAAGTGGTGAACTTACCAAATGTGCCTTTATCACGCAAGTAGACCACGAGGAGAGGCAAAAGCAACTTCTGGAAAACAATTTCCGGATATCCTTCTATTTATATAAAGCGCTAACTTTGTGTGTCGGTTTGTGTATCTGTATGTGTGTGTATGTATGTGTGTCCGTCCGCAAAATGAATGAGTGAGAAGGACGCAGGGATAAACAAACCGCTAACAAATCGGGTAGCTTACAGAATTTGAATATCAATGTTTGTAGCAGGATAGTTGTGATACACTCTTAGGGCTACATAAACCTGCTTAGCACACTTCCGTTCATTCACATGGTGCTGCAGTGCAGCTGGAGGGCAGTGGAGAAAGGAAGGGAGGATGAGGAAGGGAAGCGAAAAATCTACCGTCATATCATGATTGTGTCCCTTCTGCTGTTGAACACCATTGTGTTGCATACGCGTCCCTTCCACGAGGTTGGTGTCACAGGAGGAAGGGACAATAGCGGAGAATAGAAAACTTGCGCAGGAAAGGAAGGTCCGGCGGTTGACGGGGGACTAATCTGGTCTAATTTTATAAAGCGCTAACTTTGTGTGTCGGTTTGTATGTCTTTATGTTTTATGTAGTATGTGTGTCCGTCCGCAAAATGAAGTGGTAGGGAAACTTCGTGAAGTAAACGACCGTTAACAAAAACGAGTAACTGTGACTTAGCATCAATGTTTTGCAGTGCTATCAATGTGATAACACCCCAACGGCTATATAAACACCTAGTGTGCATGGTCTCATTCATTCACATGATGCTGCAACAGCAGCTGGAGAGCAGTAGAGGGAATAGATAAGATGAGAAGGGAGATAACCGCCAAGACTGAAGTCCAATTAATATCATTCTAAGGACATGTCACGATTACGGTAATGCCTTCTACTATAAGACACCTTTTGTGCATGCGTGCCACCTCCACGAGGTGTCCATGTCACCAGTGGATGGAGCAGCATTGGAAGGAGTAAGCTTACGTAGTAGGTAAGGAGGTCCGGTGGTTGCCGGACCAATCTGGTATTTCAAAACTCACTTCCTTTTTCTTCTACAGGAGCGGTTTTTTAAAGCGAGAGTATCGCAAACTCAAGTGCTCCAAAATAAAAAAACACTGAGTTGAAATTATCCTATAAAGTGAGCATCACAAGAAGAAGAAGGATAATCTTAACTGGCTGGGTTGCTCGTAAACTCGTCAATATACTTAACGGAGGATTTTCGGCAGAGAGCACTAAGCCTTCGAAACGATGACAACATTTTCTCATTTTCATTTCATATTCACTTACTGTTAGTTCTATTCTGCCACTCGGCAAACTTGTTCATCATCCTGTGTCTCTCGTCCCGTTCAAAGAATGAGGTTACTGCTGCTGTGATGATGTAATGCGTCGCGCTGTCCCCTTCCCATAACTCACTTGTGCCTCCTTTTTAGAAGAACTTAGAAAATTGCAGTACAACCCCAATCTACAGGGTTTAAGAGAAGGCCTAATGAAAGCCAAATTCGATCCTTCATCTCGAAAATTATTTTCAGAGTCAAAAGGGGTGCCGCTTTCTCATCATATGCTACAAGCCATGAAACGAATGTTAAGGTCCCATAAACGGGAGCAATAAGAACTACGAAAACTTTCGAGAAGTCTGGGTGGAGAAAGGAGCGAGAAGTGGCACACCCTACTGATGTCTAGGCTAATTTATTGTAATCAATAGGTCATTACGCGGAGGCAATCTTGAGCAGAAAACTGGAACGGCCAAAATAAGCGACAGAAAACCAACCGCTGGGAAGTTCACCACAGAAATCCGCGATTCAGCTCGACCGCCACGGTAACGCGTCGACAGTCCACTGATCGAAGTCGTCGGGGATGAATCCCCAGTCGAGAATAGGGTGATTCATCCAACGTTGTCTCTCCAAGTCGTTATGCAACAAGCCCGAGGGCTATAACTCAGACCTGCGTGGCTTGTTGATACGACCCCGGGGAGGGTGGGTGTGGGTAGGTCTGTACCAGCGACTCGACATCGTTTGAAAGTGGCGGAAGTCGTTTTAAACGTTCGCTTTCACCACTTTCCCGGCTCACGGGGCATGAGAGAGTGAGAGGCATGAGAGCTTGGGGAAGTGGTGAGAGTCAAAGTGCAAACGAGAGGGAGTTCGGACCAAACGCCGTCGAGTGCGATACACCGTTCGATCCGCTGCAGCGCTCCTGCGCGAATCCCTGATTTCGCAAATTCTGAATACGGCCGTACATGGGCGATAAGTGACATCGCGCACCCAGTGCCACCCACGTCGAAAGCGCTGCGGTACACTTCGTATGTTCCTGGACTTTATCTTCTTGCATCGACAGTCGCGGACGGCATGCCCTTTTAGTTCATTTTGACAGTTCGTCGAGATTACGCGTAGAATGGCAAAAGTAACTACATAGTGAATGGTTAAAGTTTATTCATTTTTGTTTGTGATTTGGAAGCTGCAAGCTTTTGAGTGTGTCACGGTTGTTTTTACATGATGCGAGTGGATTTTCTACATGTCTTTTGCACGTCCATGTATGTTGTAATACTTATGTAAATGTGTTGACATGAAACTAGTGAAGACTAAGCCTCTATTCTCTTACCTTTTTGGCATTTCTAGGCCTTGATTTCATGTATTTTACTCTGTTTGTATCTAAAATTTATTGAATATCGTTGGAGTGCATAAATTAATATACATTGCAGTGCTGTTTTATAATGCGCATTAATGAGTATTCTTTTCAGGCAAAGAAATTTGATGGATTGATTCCAATCATTGTCGTAGCATGTGCTAGTCTATGTGTTAATTGTTCTTTCCTATCCTGATTTAGTTCAATTGTTACGCCTGACTAGCTGCTCCGCTGCAAATTGGTTGCTTAAAGCGAGAAATTACGAAATAATTTCTGTGATTATGGAAGAACGAGCAGACACTTCAAGCAGTAGCCAGAGCCAAAGGAATCTAGATGTGGCCTTTCGCGACCTAAAGGTGAGCTCGTTGCAGCGCCGCGGGGCTTCATCTTTCTGAGCTCCGCCACCGCCTGTGCTCCGCCCTCAGCAGATCGCTGTTCGATTATCGTTTTGATAAGGTGTCGCACCTTCGAGCGCGTGCTCAACGTACTTTCCGTCATGGAATGGCTTATGTCAAGCAGGTATGATCTCTAATGGTATGATGGCAGTTATGGTTTAACGGGTGCCGGCGACCTCTTAGTTGGTTGCCATCTCGTCCATTATCGGAGACCAACGGGCAGAGGAAGTGGTCCCATTTTGCGCGTTTTAGATGGATTTCTTTGCGTTTTTTGCTACTAGGGCATTATTCAGCATCTCCACTTCCACTGTGAGCACACAGAATCTTATCGTAATCTCTCGCTTTAACAACAAATCCGCGCCGCAATCAACAATTTGAATTTTTCAGCTGAAAAATCGACCTGGGGAGAACTGCTGTGAGTTGTGTTCACTTGAATTTTTGCGTGCACGTCAAGTGAGAATGTCTTCGTATGTGAGCAAGTTTATGTGTATAAGATTGTACGTATTCGGTTCTTTGATTCGTCGAGTTAGACAGGAATCGCAAAACAGCAAAAACTCCAATTTTGCTTTTGCCAAAGCTTGTGAACAAATACATCAGCTAATAATCATCCATCGCCTTCGGAATCTATTTCACGGTGGAGCCTCACATTTACAATGCGATCTGACAAACCACTGCCTTGTTCCTTCTACCCGCTGAATAGTTATTCCCGTTATAGAGAACCTTGGTTTGTGGAAAGCACCAAAATGGACCCTCTACATATCCACGTGCACCAGATTTATCGAGCCAGAGTAATATGCAGATAATTCTAAAAGGCACAGCTCGATTCAATTACTTCGGCCTACTAGTGGTTGTTCAGTTCAGTCAGAAGAAGATATGGGTGTGCCTCTTCACGTGCATGGCAACGTGAACCTTATATATGGATGTCGTAGCGAGCAATCGTCCCGCTCCATCCGGTTGCTCAAAAAGTCGTAGCACATCGCAGGAGGTGTATCTGCGCATCGTCGCCCTCGCGCAGATCTCCTACACGCTGCATGCCCTCGAAAACTCATGGAAAATTGAAACTTTGCGTTTTTTGCAACCACTACGGTCATTCTAGCATACAACGTTTACCCTTACCTCAGTGATGGAGTTTATGTGGCGTCTAGCTTTGGGAAGTGCAGCACTTCCTGAAGCGACCGTGAGGCATGCATCCGCTGTGGCATATAGCACAGGGAAGGTCACCCTCGTGTATTCTACGTGTTGAATCGCTTCTCTATCTTCAACCTCGACGTTGCTTCGGAAGACTTCTACGACACCTGAGGTTTCAAGCCTACTATGCCCCCTTGCAGCTGAGCTCAAACTCGTTGTCTTTACAAATGCTTCGACCGCGGACGGCGTGAGTAATGAAGACACCATCCTGATCTCTTCAATAGGCCAACGGAAATGACTCGTGTGCATTTTTCATGCACCTTATTATCAGAGAATTGATGATTCGTTCTCCAATACTGACGATTACTTCATAAAACACAGTATGCTTTCGTTTCGTGCACTCGTATGATTTGATCTTCCGTTACTTGGTAGGTCCAAAATTCGTTACCGTGTCAAAAGGATTCCTAATTGCTTAGGAACATAATAGATTGTAAAAAAAATTTTTGTAGCTGTTCTGACCTTATCAAAAGGGTTTTTCAGGACGTGCCAAGCTTTTCTCAAAATGATTTCTTGCATGACAGGGACACATGCCGGGACCAGAGAAACGTGGTTCGTTTTTCCTAAACGGCCCCTTGAATACCAAAAATAGAGATGCTAGTGGCCCATGGCTTGATTCCTCGTGGTAACATGTGTTTGCATTTTGAGTTAGTGTTTCTGAATTTGCCCAAAAAAGGTCTGTGCCAAGAATGGATGTCAGGTTCATAATTAGAGCCGTCAGCAGCCCACACGATTAGCTTTAACCGACTGGTGGTGAATTTTCAAACTAAAATGGCACCAGTGTGGCACCGAATAGCACGTAGCGGCAATATATTACGTGCGCGTCAAAAACGAATGTCACGTTCGTAGTAAAGGCGCCGGATAAGCCGTGTAACCGTTTCAGAAAAAATAAGATTTTGACTCAATTTTGAACAACCATGGATGAGTCAGTAAACATCAGGCCTGGACGTGGAGGCGGTCTCATTGTCATCTAAAATAGTACGAAAAGAGAAACCCTGAATGCACAGTGACAGACATTCAAGCTGGTGATGGCCGAGGGACCGCGCCAAATGTATAGGTCGCTGGGTTCTCCTCCCCTCAAATGGTGATAGGTTGGATCAGCCTACCTCTGTCTACCCCTCTCATCGGTTTTAAGGAACGCCGAAAGGAAAAGTGTGATTGTGCTCTATAGAGACAAAAACCTCGGTTGTCTTGTTTATCACTTTAGACTACTTTCGATTTCCGCTCAGAGTTCATCTTGGAGCCGTCAACCAATTGGGGATCCATTTCGGCTTTCCTTATGACCGCTCCAGTCTTTAGAAGCGGAGTCGAAAGGAGTCAAAATCCCAATTCTCCTAAAGCTCGAGCGTTGGGGTTAGATCGGTGTCCCGATCACGAAGATGGTTTTTTTACGCTGGCCAGTCTGGCCCATTTTGGCGCCGTGTTTCCGCAGTGTCGGAGAAAACTTGTTCTAATACTGTTATTTGTGGTCCTGACCATGAATATGGAAGTTCTGCATGGGATAGTATCACTTGGTACTCATGCTGAGGTGCCAGCCAAAAATACAAGACGCGGCACGCCGTAAGAAGCCCAACCAGCTAGTCCCCCCTCTGAGGCCGTGCCAACTAGAGTCCAATGCGCTATCCAATGGGCCACTTGGGTCTACTACACTATCTGCAAAACAATCCCTCGTAAAGGTATGACACTTTCTCCAGTACATAACTCGGACAAACGCATCATTCTGTGCGAAGTTCGCATTGTTTCCAATGTAGTGATAGAGGGAACCATTCAATATGACATTAGTCAACGCTGTGGACGAAATGCTTCACATCGAAGCAGTAAACACCGTAGGTACCAAAGTAAAATTTTGTAGCCATTTCTGGGATTCACGGAGCCATTTAAGAAAAATTGACCGTGATTTTGTGGTTCCTACATGCGCCCCTATATCATACAAAAAACGTTTTGAAGAAGCATGGCACGCTCTGAAAGACTTTCCTTATATGATTGAGTTCTCGCATGGAATTGGCAGGAATCAGTCGCTAGAAGGCCAGGGCACCGTTGTACCTGACCAGGGTACTCCCATCAAGGATCCCGCGTGGGCCCTCTGGTAGATCCTTAAAACAGCGGTTTTCCAAACTGATATTTCATA